TTCCTGAAAATCCTGGGAATCATAAGAGATTAGTGAGACGATTATATAAGAAGTTGCGAAAATGTCTTTGGAAAGACTTTTATTTTTACATTCATAGTTACGCAAATAGAAAAGTTACGCATTCAAAATGAGTTGTTGGTAATAAGTCAGCTGAAATGATTGATGGGTTCTGCCATTTTCTCCGAGCTGCCATCGAGCATGTGTCCAACCGTTGGAGAAATGAAACGATATTTAAGTGCTAAAATGTCGATACCAGCTGCTGAAAGACAGAAATTAATACAAGGATATTTTGAAACAATTTTTTGCATATGGTGTCGTTTAAAACCCGTAATTTATTGCAATAGTTTGCATTAAGATTATTATTGATCTGCAATCCTAATGTGCCACTTTGATTCTCTTCGTACACCCTTACTGTATAAGAAATAACATAACTTTTTAATTGTCTTTTTCGCAGGAAAATAAAAGAATATTAATATTTCCAGTTGAAGCTTTGTTGTCGCGTTGTTATAGCTTATCTCTTTTATCTGACAGTAACATAAGACAGTAACCAAGGCTACGAAATTCTTCGTGGCTAGGAGTGCAAGATTGCGCCTGTCGTTGGCAACAGCCTTAAACACCATGCAGGTGACAGTACAACTTTCTCGGTTCCGCCCCCAATTCTGATGAAGAGCACTCCGAGTGTGGACGGGTCCGAGGGTCTACCATACCTCTTCCCCTACTACTAAGCTCTTGAGAGAACTTTCAGTTCGCCGCATGTTTAGGGTGCCCCCATGCCGCGTGGACACTATACAAACATCCATGCCTTCTCCAGGATTCGAACCCGGGCTCTTCGACACGGTGCTCAGCGTCGCTAACCACTATCCCGGTTGAGTGGCAGTTGAAGGTTTGAATGAATAATAAGCTTACTAGACCAAAGTCATGAATGAAACAAGAATTTCTTTTCTTTTTCCCTTTGTGCTGCTTCCATTGTTAAAATATTCCATTAAGAACTCGAAATTCTCATTACACAGATCATCTTGATTATATTCGTTATATCTGTTTTTGCTTACACTATATGACTGATTATGTAAAATTACAGAAAGCCAAATAAATCAGAGCATTGGTTCCCATCCGATGGTTTGCGAACCCCCGGTGTTCTCGAAGTTAATATTATAATGCCGGAACTTTAAATCACTAATGTTAAAAAAATAAATAAATAAACGACGTAGTAAATTTACATATTTACGTTTACTGCATTATTAATAACTCGAAAATAAGAAAGTAACTTTAACCCCCTTAATCACGTTAACCGCTTTAATCAATTTAACGGCCTAGCGAACCCTATGAGCATGACTGGCTTGTGCTTTTAGTTGCACTCAGGCTTTAGAGTTAGACGCTTGTTAACAAATTGAAGAGCAGTTGCATTAACAGACGTTCGTACAGACGCTTGTAAACCTTATGTGATTCACTTCGCGATTAGTAAGTATGTGACGGTAGCTCTGTTTAACGAAGTTTTTCTCGCGTAAATAAACTTTAATAATTACTGTACCGTAGTTTTGTTATGGACTGATGGATGAAAAGGGGTTCGTTTAGTCAAGTCTTACAAAATACTGGACAAGCAGTCAATTGTTCATTCTTCAACTTCATCACCTGATTTCGAAACAACACAGGGGAATCACACTGAAAGCTGTAGTGAGCTACAACCTCACCTGTCTGGAAAAAAAAAATTGGTGAATATGGTGAGGAGAAACGGAAAAAGCAAAAATATGACAGAGTTGTTTGAAAATGGGTTTTTATTTTACTGGGGAAGAGCGGAAACTTAAACCAATTATTAAAAACATTTGACACACAAGGATAATCTTGTCGAGTATTTCAAAAGAAAATTAGCAGTAATAGAAAGTATGGTATTTCTTCTTTCCTGTTAGCTTAAAGCGAAGATAATAAAATGGCTCTTGAGGCAACATGTTGAGTAAATTATAGAAAAGCTATCGCAAAGCGTATGGTTAGAGAAAAGGCAGCAAACAAACTGACCTCTTTTTTTATAATTTTTTTTTAAAAATCAAACAATACAGTGTGACATAGAATTAATGATGTGGACAATGAACTTTCGAAGAGAATAATACTGAATTATTTTGCGATCCAGCTCGACCGATTCGGACGATGTAGCAAATGCTGTCGTACTGCTTATCAACGTTAGATACATTTTTAAGAATCCTATTCAAAAGGATGTACTGTTTGCAAAATCTTTGAAAATCTGTAATACAAATGGAGGAGTACTTTTCCATGTGATCAATGGTCATTTTGAGGGGGAAAAAATGGAATAAACTTGTTTTATTATATAGGTGCTCCCACATACAACATGTGCAGCGCGCACATGCATCTTTTGCAGCTGGTAAAAAACGTCAACGAGAAAAGTGAATGGACTGATTTCTGTAGTCATTGACAAAAATTGGCATGTATGTGTGCAGAGTTATCTATTACTTTAGGTGATGCTGTAAAAATCATAAATTTTATAAAATCTCAGGTTACAAACTGCTGTCTATTCCATGCGCTTTGCGAAGACTTAAGAAGCCTTCACGTTTCTTTACTACTTCATTCAGAAGTTGGATGGCTTTCCCTCGACAAAGTTTTGATGTGTTTATTTGAACTGAAGTATTCAATCATTATTATAGATCATCCATTTCATTTGACCTCTTGCATATTTGATTTTCTTTGGCTACACACAAGGCTTGCATACTTAAGTGACATCTTTAGTAAATTAAATGAATTAAATCTGTCATTACAAGGAGCAGGTGTCACCATTTTAAATGTGAATGATACAATTGAAGCCATGCTAAACAAGTCAAGTTTTGGATCCAATGATCTCAAATGAATAAATACGGATGTTTTGATTCTCTCACTCCTTTTTATCAGAAAATTCAGTTGATGAAAACATTAAAAAATATATATGTGAACATCTGAAATATCTTCAATAAATTTTCGACGATTATTTTACTGATAGACGCAATATATCCCTATCAAACAACTGGATAAGTAGTCCTTTTCAAAGAGATGTGAGTTTAGAGACTTCTCTAACTTTATTGGGAAAAGGAAAACTCATTAAGTTATCCCGTAACAGTTCTCTAAGAGCTATGTTTAAAGGTTACTCTTTAACTGACTGTTGGCTTAGTGTTACAAATAAATATCTCGTTTTGTCAAAATAAAATAAAATAAAATAAAAAATAAAAAAAAACCCTCCGTTTGGTAGATATTAAGGGACTTCGCTATGTCTGAAGTACAAAGCAGTCTTGAGAAAGGTGTAAAAGATATTTATTTAAAATTTGATAAGATAAACAGAAAGCACACCTGATGTTTATAGATTTGCCAGCATGTTTTGCGAGAAACTCAAAATGGAAATTGAAATGAAAAGCTAAATTCAAATAACTAATATCCAAAGGCTACACAGAGTAATTTATCGCGAAGTTGGCTCGGACTTCACTGGCGTAAATTTAACTATCGACAATTATGTGCAAGACCAAAGACATTAATTCTTACCTTAGAACAACAAACATAGTAACGTGGCTTTCAAGAGGCACGCTTTGTGTCACAATCTCAAGCCCATACTTAAACACACGCGAACTCATTTGCATTCAGGGTGGAAAACGGGAAGAGCGAAGTGACAGTAAAGATTCGGAAAGTAAAATAACTATTTGTTTAGATTAAAGGAAACGTCGAAAACTTTTGTTTCACAACATATCTATGTGAGAAAGGAATTTTAACGTATATTTGCTTGAGGAGTACAGAAACTGATCAAGTGCAAACCTGATCTAAGATTGAAACTTTCAGACACTGAGTCAAACTTTGAATTTCTTTTTCCATTAGACGTCCATAAATACTCCACTAAGAGTTTTTCCAAATTTAACATGTGCTTAACTAAGAACCAGTTGATTTGTTGAATAAATTTTAGATTAATTTCTTTGTAGCTATCCTTTTAGTTTTATAAATGTTTCTACTTAATGCTTCTACTTATAAGTGTTCTGCCAAATTTTATGGTTTTCTTAACTGTTATTAACCAGTTTCTTTCGGATTTTAGAAAAGTTTCGCAAGGAGACGAATGTGGGAAATCACCGAATTAGAAAGAAAGGTACCCTAAATGTAAGGTCATACTTTCAATATTTTTTAGATCAAAAGATTTTTTTCACTTTTCTTTTCCGTTTCATAATTTGCCTCCGCTTCCTATGCTTACCGTCTAAGGCAAGGATTCTCAACCCGTGGTACGCGAGAGAAAAATAGGTGGTACGCAAAAAAGCAAATTATTTTTAACTATTAAATTCAAAAATTAAAGCCCCAACGTCCTGATTGAGTTTTTTCGCTCGTAAATTTATCCGATCTGAGTTTTGTTCAAGAGTGTTGGTGGTAGTAGTACTTTGTAGTGGTGGTACTAAAGGTTTTCAGTTTTTGTTTAGATGGTACGCGTTAATCAAAAGGTTGAGAAACCGCTGGTATAAGGTATTTCTCCCGCCTTCCGTAGTGTAGTGTCAGCATGCTGGGCGCGTATTTCAGAGGTCCTTGGTTCGATTCCCGGCGAAGGCGTTGCTCATTTTTCACTTCTTCCTGTTTCAAAAGTAACCTAATGTCTCTACAACCGTCCTTAGTTTAAATGGCTGAAAGCTTATTTGTATCGTCAGAATTTAAATAAAATGTAGAAACTGTTCAAAAGCTGAACAAAACTCTTAATTATTTAAATCATTCTTTATTTAGAAGTCTACTGTTAAAGCTAGACTTATTTGTGAATTGATCAAGAAATCAAAAAATATTTTTAAATAGAAATAACATTATAAATACACAATTTAATTAAGATCTTATTATAAGGAATGTCCTCCCTCCTTACCGATTTCCTTCATAGCGTAATTGGAAGTACTCCTGGCTGTTAATCGAAAGGCCTAGAAATCGAGTACTTGCAAGGATATTGATAAGTTTTCCTGCTCCGAAAAATAAACCTAATGTGTTATTATGGATATCACGAAATAAAAGAGATTCCGTAAATTAGAAATATTTTTATTTTATCTAGCAAATTTACATTTAGGAGAATAAACATTAGAAGATGAATTCAATGGTCTTGTTTTTGAGATGAAGATGCTATTTAGTAGAAATTTGGTAAAATCCAAGACTCAGAAACTATTTCACCAGATGTCAACGCAGCAAGTGGCATGAAATTCAAAGAATCCGAAAGCCTGCTTTCGATACTGTGTCCAACTGAAGGATTGCTGATAAGTTTTTCTGATTCGAACTGCGGTTGATAAGTCTCCTCGTCTGACGATTTTAATGAAACGATTTCGTCATTTTCAAATGAATAATTATTTTCAGGGTTTTCAATAGATTGCTGATTACTGTAGCCATCTCCATTAGTTTGGTAACTTGGTGTTTGATCGTAATTACCTTCTGGAGCTTGAATGTGTTCGTAATTATTTGGGTTTTCATTTGACCTGTATCGCACATTAGCATATCCTGCATCTTTGGATCCGTGATGATGTTCGTATTCATGTTGGCTGGCATGATGATGCAGATTATTATGGCGGTGTTTGTGACCATGTTGACTAAAATGGTGATGTTTATGTTGATTATTATGACGATGTTGATGATCATGATTATTCAAATGCTGATGGTTGTGTTGATTATTGTGATGATGGCCATGACTGTGTTTATTCAAATGCTGATGCTTGTGTGAGTGTTCATTCTCGTGATGATGTTTGTGATCATGCCCATGGCCATGCTTATGGTTATGTCCATGATTATGGTTATGCTTGTGGTCATGACCATGGTTATGGTTATGCTTGTGATCATGACCATGGTTATGCCCATGCTTGTGGTGATGACCATGATTATGGTTGTGGTTATGATCATGGCCATGATTGTGGTTATGCTTGTGATCATGACCATGTTTGTGGTTATGCTTGTGATCATGACCATGGTTATGCCCATGCTTGTGGTGATGACCATGATTATGGTTGTGGTTATGATTGTGGCCATGATTGTGGTTATGCTTATGCTCATGACCGTGATTATGATTATGATTGTGGTCATGTCCATGGTTATGGTTATGTTTGTGGTCATGGCCATGTTTGTGGTCATGATCATGATTGTGATCATGCTTATGATCGTGGCCGTGGGAATGATGATGACCATGTTTATGGTGATGGTGATGATGATGGTGGTGGTGGTGATCACCCCTCTGGCCTCCAATCATTATGACCTCTGTTTTATCAGGATAACTGCAATTAAAAATATTATTACAAATAGTAGCTTTTTCAAGCATTATTACAATTTTACAATAAATCAAAATATTTATATTTTCTATTAGAAAATTTCTTATTTTAAACGTTTGGCAATTTATAAATGCCATTATAGGAAGCTGCTTCTTGTCTAATATACCTTCCTTGAATGATGCAGTCTAATAATTGTAATGAAGTATTTGATTTTGTTAAATTTATTTCTGTTGTTATCATTTAATATAATTGGAATTAACGGCACGAATTCGATGAATGTGAAAAATATCACCGATTTTACCCCAGGAACGTTAATTGCTAGGTTTAAAATGCATTGTATAATTCATTGTTTTTTTTTTTTTTTTTTTTTTAATATTTCTTATTTGCTTATCATGATATCATAATTTTATTCTAATCCGAATAGCAATATTTAATTAATTATTTTGTTAGTTTATTATCATCGAACGATAAGAATCAATGAATTTTAAATGTTTAGTCTAATTTTGTTGACTACAAATAAACGTGGAGAAAATATTTTTACAAATTTATAATTCCATTCTTATTTTATTCGTATATTGCACTCCGCAATCATTAAACTAAAAATAAATTGCTTTCTTCGAAAGTAACGATTCTTTAAAAATAATAAATTTCTTTCTATGTGCAAATACATTTTTTAAATCTAACTATAATAAATTACTCAAATAATTCTGCAAGCAGTTTCAAAAAGGGCTTGTGAGAGTCAGTTTTCTTTGTTGCAGGCTTACAAATGGACCAAAGAGTTTTTCCCCCAAAAAAAGAAGTCAATTTCGACATTCTTTTGTTCTGTACTGAACCAAATGCTCACTTGGTGTCTGCCGAAAACATTGCGGACGAAAGTGTTGTGGAGAAAACAACGGAAGACGAAAATGTCGTTGAAGAAAATATCGTGATTGATGATCATGATGTTTTCCCTAGTCACTGTAAACAATTTTAAGAGAGGTGACCTCAAGCAGTTGTTCATTTTCCTTAATTTTTATCAAAACGTTTAAGCTTTTTAAAGCTTGTTTAAGATTTTGATGCTATAATTGTGAAGTTTTTTTTTTACTTCGGCCTGTATAATTTCAAATTTTCATGTGTTGGATTTCTCAAGTTCCTTTTTGTGTGTGTGTGTGTGGGGGGGGACTTGGTCTGCTCAAAAAGAAAATTTAGGATTTTAAAGTTTTCTAAGTTTGTTTCTGGGTTTGATGCTATAATTTCACAATTTATTGCACTGCTTGCGACGGCCTGCAGAGAATGATAAGCACACATATTACTTTGATCAACTTTCTGAGATTATTTTGAGTATACATCTCTAATTTTTAAATTCTGTCTTTATTAGTTCAGAAATAGGCTGACATATTTGCTTCCTTAGTTGCACCAACCCTCTGATTGACGGTGCAACGAAAGATGTAAATTACCTTCTTTCTTTTCCATTTTTTGGTTCTAGCATTATTTGCACAATTCGTGCCATTTATCACTGTGCTTTTGGTTTTTTGTTCTTACGTATGGCTTATTCCGATTTTAACATGGGATAGATTTAAATGTATTATTTTAATTTATTTTACATCATAGTATATATGGAAATTAAAAAAAATAATCAAAAAGCAAAAACGAGGTATTTAAATAAAAAAAGAGTTAACTGATTGCATTTCATATATCCATCCAGAGACACAGTGCAATTAACTTCTATATCACACTTGTTTGGGATTCAATTGATATTTTAAAGTTTAAGAAAGAGTTCGAGAACTTATTAGATATTCTTTATTTTAGAGCACTCTTTTTTAAATCCAAGAAAATACTGCCTGGTCTTACTTTAGCAGCATCCCAAAGGTATTAAATGTTATTTTTATTAGAGCGAAGGATTTTTCTTGAAGTGTCACGTGAGAAAATTTTTCTAAAACCTAATATAACTTACAAGGGGTGATCAAATGAAAAGGTAGGAAACGACGTAAAAACGTAACAGTTAAATATTTGCATATTCCGCCATGGGAGAACACAGCGAGACATCTCGGGACGCGATTGGAGTCTCTGACTGGGATCGGAGCATGCGAGGGCGCCCGCATGCGCAGGAGAGAGCAGAGGCTCTTATCAAAAGCGGCGTCCAAATGATGCGGCAGTCCATATGAGGACAGGATGGCGTTTGCGTTGCAAAATTCGACGGCTGAGGAGCAGTGAGGTGTTATCCGACATTGGAAGGTGAGAAACCGACAGCTATTCATCGCCGGATGGTGACAGTTTACGGGGAGAAATGTGTCTCTGACAAGTCTGTCAGAAAATGGAGTGCCTGTTTTCGTGCAGGCCGTGAGAGTATGGGTGATGACCCGAGACCCGGCCAGGCAAACACTGTCATCACGAGCGATCTCATCGACAAGGTGGACGACGTAGTGAGAAGTGATCGGCGTGTCACATTGCGAATGTTGGCGGTGAAGGTGGATGCCATCAACAGGCAAGGTATTGCTCACCGTCTTTTTCGACATTCAAGGTCCGCTACTTGTGGAATTCCTCGAGCACAGAAAACCATTAGCTCCGATGTGTACTGTAAGACACTCTGACGCCTACGCAGGTCCATCAAGAAGAAAAGACCGGGGCTGCTCACGGAGGGTGTGGTTCTGCTCCATGATAACGCGCGTCCACACGTCTCCAGAGTCACACATGGAAATGGCCAAGTTCAAGTGGGAGACGTTGGACCATCCGCCCTACAGTCTGGACATGTCGCCTGCGATTTCCGTGTGTTTCGTCCACTGAAGAAACACCTAAAAGGGAAGCGCTTTAACTCGGACGACGTACTCAAAGACGCTGTGAAGGACTGGGTCTCGTCACGGCCACAGGAATTCTGAGAGCAAGGAATCCTGCGGCTTGTTCATCAGTGGGATCGTTGTGCTCAGGCCTATGGTGTATATTTTGAATAAAGTCTACATTTGTACCCACCGTGTCGTTTTGTACCTTTTCATTTGATCACCCCTTGTACAATAATTTATAAATGCAATCTGGAAATGAGTGCCAAAAAACTTATAACTTTACAAATAAAATTGATGAAACTTCTATTTGTTCAAATAAGCACTTTTTTCCTAGACGGGGGGGGGGCGTTTTTACTTTTAAAAGGACTATACATTAAAATTTAAGCAGCGTTCTTCAATATACATCGCATGATTTTTAGAAACATGCAGTAATCAAAGTTTATTTACACCACATTCGTCTATTCCTTTTAAAGGTGTTTAAATTGAAACTCTTGTAATAAAATATAATCATGCAAATATAAAAAAATATTGATTTTATAAAAAGCTATTAAAATTGACTAAATACAGTCTGATTTTAGGAAAACTTAAGAAAGTATGCAATGTTATTTTAACTTGAATTTTTTTCATATTAAATTTTTTCTTTTAATAAATTTCCTTACAATGAAGGTTTTTGTGTTAAATATTGATAAAGGATATTTAAATCCCTTTGTTTTAAGTGTAATTTATTTTTTGTCAAAGCATAACCTGAATTTTCTTGATTTTGTTCATTTTTAATTTAAATAATCAGTATTTCATGTCAGCAGTTTATTAACACTCGGTTCACTATACTGCTTAGTTGTAATTTCTTATGCAGTAAAGTACAAATTATGTTTTTAAACTTGGCGAGTTGTCTAAGCAACTGGACACAAAAAAAAGTATTTTTTTATAATCTTATATACTGCCATTTTCGTTAAGAATATAAATTCTCTTGAACTGGAAGGTAAAAGATCTTCATAAAATTTGCACGTGTTGTGCTCATCTACTATTTTTTTTTTAAATGTAAGAATATTGCTAGTTATTGCTTTTCCCACATTACCAGCTCTTGACCGAAACTAGAAATAAGTTTTCCACTGAAGAAACACCTAAAAGGGAAGCGCTTTAACTCGGACGACGTTTAAGTATTTGTACATAGAATATAAAAATACTCACTGTGGCAGGTGCATCACACTTGACGAGTAAGTAGTTTTTGCACTCGAAGATGTACGCATTGCAGGTGGATAGAAATAAGGAGACATAAATCCGAAGCAGCAGCTACTGAATATACCCTGCAGGGACAAGAAGAATACTAGGAACAAAATTTCTCCTTTATGCACGATACGCTGAAGCATCTAATAAAAGAAACATATTTTTTATTATAAAAATCTTGTAAGTGATGGTTCTAAAGTTTATAATTGAAGACACATAAAGATTGCTACATTTTAATTTCAACTAATCATTCATGCGATTTATATAGTTAGAATTGCAAGTTTTTTTTTGTTGAAACAGGAGACGTGAGAAATGTGCAATCCCATCGGCGAGACCCGAACCATGGGCCTCTCGAATACGCATCGAGTGCGCTTCCAATTACACCACGAAGGCATGCAGAAAGGAGGGAGAAGATGACCGAATCCTAAAGAACCGAAACAAATCCTATGTACATACGCCTAATATTATTCGCTTATTTTGACCAAAATTCCATTTAATCGGACCAAATGACGTGAGAGCGAATAAGAAACAGAAGCCACAAGTTGGCCGCGTAAAACGGATGTACAGGTGGTCCGCGATATATGGGAGGATCTGTAGCTGCGCTTCCCAGGAGCTTTATCAAAGGTCAGGAATTCCTTAAAGTGCATGACAAAAGTAAAACCAATGGGAGGTGAACACACACACCTTATAGGCTCACTATCCTTTTGAAATGATATACTGATCTATGGGTTATGATGCCCGTGAAGAACATCCTTTAAAAAGAGATGCATTGGCTAGGCTGTTCTGAGAAAGACAGTCTACCTCTATTGTAAAATTTTCCACATCATAACAGGTCTTCTATCATCTAATGTTTTTAATCACATAACCTCTAGTACCATTGCTTTCTCATCCGATTTTATGTGCTGTGATGGCAATGTAAGGAGAACAATCAGAAACTCTAGATTCAGATAATGATAGCATATACCCTAAATCTTTGTGGGCAGGTTTTTAGAATTATTTGCTTGAAACATCTGCAGGTTTTTCGTTCTAATATAATTTAGGTGGTCACATTCTTTGTCGTTCTTCAGCTTTAGTTTGCTTGCTTCATATAGCACTTTTACTGTAATGAATCGAAAAGGAGAGGCTTTATCACCAACACAAACTGATGTTACAGAAACGGAATACTGCAAATTTTGTGCTGCTTAAGATACAAAGTGATCCACCTATTGATGACAAACGGTAAAATTCGAAGTATTTATTCATGCTTCTATCTAATGATTATTTACTAGCAAAAGGAATGGCAGTGTTCTATTGTACATTGGTACTGAAATGATGCAGTAGTATCTGGAAACAGGAAAAATACGCAAAGCGTACAAAGAATAAGTTTTTTGATGTTAAAATCATATCATTTTCAATTATAACCAAGGCTGTTCGTTATCTATAAATATTTTTCCCAAAATTATCTAAATTATGATAATTATTTTATATTTTCTTTTATTTTATAACAGCTGAGTTTAAGTCCTGATTCATTTGTCCATATTTAAGGATTACGTGAAAGAATGTAAAATTATTGAATACTTACTCAATAATGCCTTGTATTCTCTAGATAATCAGAATTATAGATTTAAGATTATTGATCAGTTTATTATTAATCAATCGTCCTTACAGTAATTGATTAAGCATCGTAACTAGCTAGTATTTTCTATAGAATGTTTACGCTTTTGTAGAGGCAGAATGTTAAACGCCATTTTATTGCTTAAAATGTATCCTCACTTCATGCACTCATAATCTATAAAGCCGGCTGCATTCCCAAACTATAAAGGCTATTTTCACATTTTTAGAGCGAAAATTTGCGTTATAGTTAATGTTTTAAATAAAAATGCTTCTTCTTAAATGCTCCGTTTGTTATTCTATTCGCTTGATTATCAAACTGCATCTTAATTTCTATAATTGAAGAGTCTTTCTTACAGGGTTAGACGTCCATACGTACTATGTCCATTAAAGAAACAAGTACATGGAGAAAGGCATACATTTTTTGTCATTTTTGCAAGACATTTAGCTGTTATATAAACGAATGAATAGCAGCTTTATCGTAATTGAGTTGTACTCTGATAGTTCGATGTGTAAAGAGGAGGAATTTTGTTTTTAACTTTAGTATAAATTCAAATATCTCATTTCAAACACGCATTTCATATTTTAAAAGTATTAATTTTTTACTCTGCAGCAATCATAAACTCTTTGTTGAAACTTTCTTTGATCTAAATTTCTATGTCTTTTTGCCCAGTTTTACAGAAATTAATTGGCTTGCTACCCTGGACAGCATCGAGGTTAGCGAAGGCTTACTGCTAATCCGAAATCAAAGATGTAATTTCGACTCCTGTGTAAGGATCGATTGTAATTGTGTTGTAGCTTTATCATGATACAGTTTTTGGCAGCTCAGCGGGTGAAGAGGAGGAATTTTATCTCCAAATATAGAAATCTGAATACAAATATTTAAAGCCGTTTTTATACTTCAAAAACTAAAATTTTTTGTTATGCTAAAAGCTTGCAAAAATGATAAACTCTTTGAATTATCTTTGAATGAAAACTACGAGTATCTTTGAATGAAAATGAGCTATCTTTGAATAAAAATAAAACTATCTTTGAATGAAACTATATTTGAATTCTTCTTCTTTTTGCTGAGTTTTACAGAAATTAAATCGCTCTGTATAGTATGGTGATTAGCGAAGACTAATTGCTTACATAAGAATTGAACTAGGCATAAGTTCAACTTTTATGTAAGAATCTGTTTTAGTTGTATTGTCTTTCTTTCTCATTCTTCAGCGGGTGTGATATCGGTCACCTTCTATGGTGCACAAAGGGAAATATTTTCAGTGATGAGACAGCCAAATATCGGTGTGTCTGGTCTTTTCCGACGAACTTGCTAGTAGAAGAAAAACAATAAGTAATCGGGTCTTTCTTCTTAATATAGTTTTTTGCATAAGTCTACATATTCATAGTCACCATGCATATTAATTTGTCTTCAGGTAAAGTATTTCGATCAAGCGTTTGATAACATGTTATATATTCAATCACATACCTAAGCGAAAGGCGATTTAAAAAAAATTGCAACAACTTCATCATTTTTAGTTCTTTTTAAGATTTAGAGCTGTGTTATTATTTTGTTTGTTGTTACAGAAACCATTTTAATTTGTCCAGTAACCATCTATGACAGCACAGTAAATATTTTATAGTATGTTTTTACTACTGAATTTAAAAGCATTTTCAATTTCTTTTTTCTTTTAACTGGCTAATATCCTTTGGAGGCTTGGAAAATATACTTCTGAAAAAAATTGAAAGTTCACATATTTATTTTACTGCTTTTTCTATGCAAAAATAAGGCTTGCCTATTTCATTTTTAATATAGATAATATTATCAAGTTTTGATTTATAAAAGCTAATTGGTTACTTTCCACAGATGGCTGGTTAATAAAACTATTTGTCATTAAAAACGGCAAAAACATAGCCTTATATCCAAAATTTATTTATAAGCAAAACATAGTTAGAGATTCACTTTCTATTAATTAGATAGATCTTGTGGTATGGTAATAATTATTAATAATTGCGATGATTTATAATAAGCTCATTAATATAAAATTAGCTCGTTGAGGAAAATTAATAGCTAGGAAGCAATAAAAGTGATTGTGTCTTGCTTTCTTTGCTGTTCCATAATTACAGTTTCATTGTAGGAAGGTAAGTATAGAAAATGTAGTCTTTGTTTTAACAATTATTCAACTCCTTCTCAAATTATGCAATACTAAAGAAAATAGATTCTTCAGAAACTATCAAAAGGGTATAAAGTACGTTATTCAAACCATGATTTGCAACGCAAATTGAGTCTTGGAAGTTTCAAGTGGCATGTTAAAAGTCAGGGGTACTTTTGAAGAGGGGCGGGTGTGAGATCCGTATTTTAAGCATTATATCTAAAATCAATCGCAGATGTAACTGACATTGCTTCTAGATTATAAAAAAATAAAACGAAGTTGGGGTAGCGCTAATAAGTATTCAAGTAAGAAGAGAGAAATGATGAAAGAGCAAAAGTAAATAAAATGAAGGGAGAAATAACTGTGTGCATGACTGTAACTGTGTGCGTGAAGAACGGGCTAAAATTGGAAATAGTAATAAAGTCTCTTTCAAGTTTATTTCAGTTCTGAAAGTCCTTAGCTGTAGTACTCGCTACTTAAAATACTTTTGGTAAGGTTAAATATGGCCTGCTAGGCAGAAGAGTGTTGCGGGGACACTGATAAATTATATACAGTTCGGCTTAGGTTCGGAATTTCTGTAAGGCACCGCTATTTATAGATTTATAGCATCTATAATGTCTTTGCAGAATTCAGGCATTTTAAATCTGTGGATGCGAAAATTATTATGAGAAGCTGATGGTAGGATAAAAGATAAGAAATCTTTAGATAACAGATTGAAATCCTTCGGGTGTTTTCAGTCAATATTAGGATAAATTTCAGGCAGATAATTCTTGTATTCCTTGTCGTAATTAAATAGTCAAAATTGAGGTTAAATGTTTCTTCATATTCCATCGTATTTCCTTCCTAAAATTTCTTATTCACGTAATAAAAAAGATCAAACTATGCCACATGGCTATATCTGGCAAAAAGGCATAATTTGTTAAAAATTTCCACATAATGCTTCACTTTTTTAATAAATGTACTTCACGGATCTCCTTTAAAAACTTTGATTTATATAGGAACTTGCTATATATGAATGTGGTGACTGTGATGGAATAATATTTAAAAAAAAAAGATTCAACTTAATGAATATTGCAAATTACTTCAACTGATGACACGATAAACATCTTAGTTTCTCCTATCCTTACTTAATCTAGCTGGAGAAAATCATGAGATATCTAACGTGTTGAAAATTTTAAAGAGGAATTCGAAAAATCAGCTTAAATCTTTAAAATAAATATGGATTTTTAAAATTTGTAAGGGAAAGGTAGTTACTAATTCATGCGATTTTTTCAAGTGACGAAAGTACATATTTAATATTACGTGATTAATTATCAAATTGATAATAAATAAATTGTGCTCAATAGTAAATGTATTATAGTTTACAAAAGAAAATTTATATATTATATAATTATGTAATTATTATTTTGAGCAGACTGCTG